ATCTGGTCCCATACCATTAAGACATTTATAGACAAGAAGCAATAACTTATATTGAATTCTGTAACTAATAGGTAGCCAATGAAGGTCTTTCAGAGTGTCTCCTAGATGATCATATTTGTATAGTCCTACTATAGCTTTAGCAGCTGCATTCTGAACGAGTTGGAGTTGGTGGATGAGGTTGTCACTAATTCCATAATAAAGAGCATTGCAGTAGTCCAATTTGCAGAGAATGATGCTGTTAATTATAAGCTTGAGCTGAGCTTTACTAAATAGATATTTTCTCCTTATTACATTCCTAAGGAGTCTGAAACAATGCTTTTTGAGGGACATGATTTGAGGCTCAAAAGTAAGATGATGGTCAATTTGAACACCAAGGTTCTTTGTTGTGCTGACAAATCTGATACAGGTATCATTTGATAGCTTAACTCCCCCTATACTGACCTGGTTTAGAACTTGAGGTGAGGCGATGATAAGTATTTGTGTTTTTCCAGGATTAAGTTGAAGGCAATATTCAACCATCCAGCGCTGTATGGTCCTAGCGCAATTCACAATTTGGATGCCCAGAACATTTACCTGATCACAAGGTTTGAAAGTTTTATATACCTGGTGGTCATCTGCATATCCTTGCACATTGAATCCAGATTTCTTGATGGTCCTATACAGAGATCTGATGTATATGTTGAATAGCACCGGTCCTAACACAGAACCTTGAGGTACACCAAATTCTAGAATGATCGTATCACTAGTAGAAGAGCCTATTCTGGTTCTTTGAGTGCGGCCTACCAGGAAACTCTTGAACCATTTAAGAGCAGTACCTCCGATATGGATCTCTTCAGAAAGAATTTTGAGTAATTTTCTGTGTTCCACTGTGTCAAAGGCTGCAGATAAATCGAGCATCATGAGAACAGTGGAGGATTTGCTATCACATGCCAGCAGTAGGTCATTTGTTACTTTTAACAAGATGGTCTCAGTAGAATGGAACTTCTTATAGGCAGATTGCTGTGGAACATTGAGATCATTTTTAGCCAGATGTTCATTTAACCTTTTCAGCACAACTCTCTCGATGAGTTTACCCAGAAAAGAGAGGTTAGATATAGGTCGATAGCTCTTGAAGTCATTTGGATCAAGTTTGTGGTCCTTGATGGTAGGCCCAGTGCGAAATTATTTCAAAGCCAGTAGGAATAATTTTTTAGCCTAAAAAACCAGTAGTAAACCAGTAAATAACAAATAGTATATAATAGTAATATAGTGAATTTTTGACCCTTTTCAGACTGAAACGTTTTTCTTATCAGATGTTTTCTAAAGAATATTTTCTATCAGAAAAAGATACCACCCCACAAAATGACAAACAAAAACCAAGTGAATAAAATCAATTTCAAGGTATATATTCACAAGTGTCAAGTAAGTATTGTTTTCAGAAATTCGCAATATCTGAGGTACAACGTAATAAAGGCCTTTTGTGGAAACATACGTACTCACTGTCTCCTTACTTTTCAAGGCTAAAAGTGCACGGCTTAAACTTCACTTATGACCAATGATGAAAAATACAAAATTGAATTTTATGTATTACAAATTCGACCGTGCTCAATCACTCAGTCGATTTTCGAGAAATTTCCCGGCAGTTAAAACCAATTTGAATCGATGCATTTTTGAACGCTGATTCCGAATTACCCTTCATCATGATATGAAGGCTTCATGACATGGGTTAAAATGCTCCCATGGCAAGATATAAGGGAAAATTGTCTCGATCACATGATATGACCGTATAATGAAGTTGGTCTAATTTCTCGTTAGGGTTAGTGGTTAGGGTTTCAGTGTATGCTTTTTAAAGATTGGGTTAGGGTTGGGATCAGATTAGAGGGCTAAAATTTCGAATAGTCATTCAGGGCCAGCTAGAGAACGTGTTTAAAAAGTCCGTGACAGTCGAGTGTATAGTGATTAATTATCATCATTCATCCATACAACTTTCTGATCGTGATTCATTTTATATTGTTACATGTTATGTCATCAATTAAGTAATTTACGTTGCATCAGTTTATAATTATGTTAAGACGCGCAGCTTAAGTCATGCGTTACGTATTTTAGTTATCAACGTGCATATGCGTATATAATCAAAAAGTGGTACATGACAAGCTTGTTTCACAAAAAAAGACAATTTTGATTGCTAATTACGGTCACGCGCGCTATTGCAAGTTTAAAAGCTAAAGCTGCCCGGGCCGGGGTAGGGCTCCACAAATATGATGCAACAATGAATGTTTATGGTACCATGCACATGTAATTATTTATTTGTCCATTCTTAATTGATTTATGGGTCGTTCACATATTACAAAATACGTTATCATTTATGAATTTATGTTCCAAAAAGTGAAAACGTAATGTATTAATATGTGATCAACCCCTTTAATTAAATTTTTCATGTAATGAAATGGTTAAATATAGCAGCTGCACAATTTTATTTTTCATAACGAGAAACGACTGACTATTATCCTGATGCTTCAATGCTTGCTCAACTGTGCGAAATCGTGTATTTAAAGGAAATAAACGATATCTCTCCCACTGCAGTTTTCCATATCACAATTTATACTTTATCATTTCGTATCACAGGATTGGCCTTACAAACTAGACAGACTTTTAAAACACTAATTATCTATTGTTCAGCAGTTTAGTACTTAGATATATTAGAATGGTAAGTCAATGATAATGTGAAGTATTGTTTAAATTAATTATTAAGTCATCGTACCATTAAACAAATTATGTTTGATTTTAATTAGAGAGTTGGTTAATGGTTATGCTAAGAACAGAGTTTATTTAAACTTGACATACAAAACTTATTGTCCTTGCGTTTTAGATTTTCTATCAATGAAACAAGAAATTTTTTTCAATGAAACAAGAAATTTAATTTTAGCACATTTTTACAGAATAAAAAGATGTAAAACAATTCATAAAATATAATGCCCATTTGGTGTATGACTTTTTGTCCTGACTGCTAGTTTGGTTTATGAAGGACAGGTAACTAACGGGGCAAGGAATGCGCGTGCCTGGAAGCTTTTGCCCACACCGAAACGCTAGTTCAGTTAAGTTTTTAGAGACAAGGCTCAGATTAGGACTAGAAGAAAAATTGTTAGCAGACATTAGAGGTTCTGTTTATAATTGTTACTATAGGTTGCAGTCTTGTTGTGACAAAAAGTCTACACTAAAACATGATTTAGTTTATATTTAGGATATAAAATGCAGCTTCAAGGTGGATATTGGAGAGCTGGTGAAAGATTATGGCCTTTGTATCAATTGTTATAATAAGCTATAAATATCTTAAACTAAACAGTGCTAATTAAAAATTTCTTTAACCTTCATTCTCAAATTAGATTTTTAAAATTCAAAAATAAATATACAATGATTTTATTAAAACTTTCTCACACATACTTTACTCACAGGACAAGACTTGGAAAACAGTGGCCTAGCGTAATTTTAATTGAGATGTGTGTGACCAGCCAGTTATGTTTGGACAATAACATTTGTGCAGTCAAAATCTTTGACGGTCCAATCAAGCAGGGCGTGATTATGTTGATTAGCTAATAGCGCACGTTTTAACTTACCTCGCAAGCACATTACACTAGTAGTAAAGTCAGTCATTCTGAACTTTGGGGTTAAAATGTTAAAAATTTTGGTTGATCTAGTGTTGTGATTGTCAGGTGGGTCTGCCTGACAGATTAGAAGACAGGGTTTCCTTGAGGAACATGTGTAACCCTCATGTAGGGATATTGGAGCACGGAATTTCATTATCTTGTAGAGCTCGAGGTAACTGTGGTATGTATAGAGATTTTGTATAGATAGAATATTATTATGCTTAAATATCGGTTTGGTGTGCTCTTTTATGAAAAATTTTTGGTCAAGTTTCTGGTGTCCTATGGGCCTAGTACGTGCACAAGTCTTGAACTTATCAAGGTACGCCAGCCTGTCACCAAATAGTACTCTGAGACAGTACTTCTGAGCAGTAAATAATGAGCTTATACGTTGTTTCGCTGCCCCACCTATGACAAAACAATAATAGTCCTTTTTCAGCTTTTTTTTGTTTATAAACAAAGTTGTAACGCACAGTTCCATTCAATCAAAGGAATATCATCTCTACTCAGTTATCATCTAATCAACGTTAATAAATCATTTTTCTTTATCTTGATTATAAAAAGACAATCATGATTGGGACTGAAATAGTCATCTTGCAACAACTGATACTTTGCATTGTCTAAATTTGTAACTGTAATATATACAGTTACAAATTCAGATATATATCACTTTTTTAAACAACACGATAATCTCTATTTTCAGGATTTTACCAAATTATCGAAAATAACCAGACTAATTAATTCCATATTAAGGATTTTAAACAGCAATTTCTACTGACATTACAATCAATCGATAAAGATTAAAGGTTAGTTATATTATTAAGAACAATAACTAATTACACTCTCGTTGATTTTTTGGGATAATTGGTACAATTTTCTATAATTCGTTTAATAATATAGTTTACTACTTAATACTTTAATACAAGCAGGTAGCAGGTTATGTTATGCTCTGTATTAAAAAGCTCTACCGCTAAAACACAATTATCATCAAATAGTTTTATTAAAACTGATGCCTGCTGAAGATTCTGTGATGGTTTACGTATACATGCACAGCTATATCTTGGATCTTGCTATCAGAGTTGTGTGATGAGAAGATGAGTTTGCTCCTTAACACATCCTGAATTGGTGGGTTATTTTTAAGATTTATGAAAGTTGTTACAAAAATTCTGAATCAATGATTATTAATTAATTAATCAATAGTTCAGGTTCCATGAAATGAATTAACTTTTCAACTTTATTTCCTTCAGTTATTTTGTCGTATCTTTTTAATCAACAGACCAGTTGCTAATTAATCTAGCTAGCTTTTGACATTATGTACGGCTTAAATTTTGAACAACTGTCCAATCATTCAGTTTACACAGGAGTCCGTCAATCGCCATCAGCACTGCAGACGAAGGATAACTGGAGACAGTGTGGCCACTGGTCAGTACCTATTGGTGACCCTACTTTAATGGTAACGTTCGGACTTCCCTCTCAATCCTGTAAGTTTCACGAGTTAATCTACTATAAATATTTATTGTACCATTCACATATATTACGTTATCGCTTTTTGGACAATTTTTACCCCCTCCCCCCTTCCGTAATCAGTTTTACACATAGCTATTGTGTCAAAATGACAGTAGCGTAATCATTTGGAACACCCCCTCCCGTCCCCCTCGGCTGATTACGTAATATGTGAACGACCCCTAAGTGCAAAAATGGTGCAAAATGTTTAATCGTGATTTATAAAACTTGACAAACTTGTTGCGCAATGCAGCCAACTTAAATCCTTGTGCAACCAATTTACCTAAAAGTTCGGTACGATTTTTGAAACCCTTGATTATCGAATTACCTCTAGCTAATCATATTAATTGAGAAATAAATCTTCCAGACAAATTGTTTGGAAAGTTTCTATCTAAAAAGGAAATGATATAATTTTAAAGTTGTAATCTTTTATTTTATCATAAAATGACACTCTAAACTTCCCTTGACAAAACTAATGTTTAAGTCTAGATAGCAACATTTTCGAGCCGAAATATTAGTATTATTAACTATCACTTCCTTCGAAAAAATATTTTCTGATACATTCTGTAATAAACTAAAATCATTAAAAACTTTCGAATCATCTTGGTAGTTACGAAATGTGTCTTTTAATCTTTTGAGATTTTCTGTATCCCCTTGTATTATTGGCCTTGTTCTATTAAATTATGTTTAATATATTTATACTCGTATACATGTAAATAAACAATAGCTATTTGTGGTGCTGCATTGGTACCCATTAGTATTCCAATGACGTATATAAATTTGGCCCTGATAAGTAACATAAGAAATATCTATCAAATACGATTTACTTTAAAGCTTGTGACTGTGTACTGCCTACAGGCTACCGCAAATCTTATGAACTGATTCTTTCTTAAACTATTTGCAGGGTGACAATGGAAATATTTCTGGCTGAATTTTCTGAGTACAAGCCGTTGTTTATGTTTTAACTAAACAGTTTGTACATTGCACAACAGCAGTTATTATTCACTATGAAATGATATCAAGTTTAAATCAGATTCACTTACCTTCCAGACCCGAAATCTACAGAACATAGAGGAACCTACAGTTTGGAAACGGAAAGCATTCCTTGTTGAGTTGTTGTACCACACGTTCTTGTAGTTCTGGTAATGAGGTTAGTTATTTATAGTTCCAGTTGTATAAATGTCTCAGTTATTCACAGCGTCAGCATCATATCCGTCTCCCTCCCCTTTCCCTCCCCCTCCCCCTCTCAGTCTCTCCCTCTCAGTCTCTCCCTCTCCCCCTCCCTCTCAATCTCCTCCTCTCAGTCTCTCTCTCCCCTCCCCCCTCCCCCTCCCCCTCCCCCTCCCCCTCCCCCTCCCCCTCCCCCTCCACCTCCCCCTCCCCCTCCCCCTCCCCCTCCCCCTCCCCCTCCCCCTTTCCCTCTCCCTCCCCTTTTCCTCTCCCTTCTCTTTCCCTCTCCCTCTCCCTCCCCTCTCCCTCTCCCCCCTCCCCCTCTCAGTTTCTCCCTCTTCCTCTCAGCCTCTCCCTCTCCCTCTCCCTCTCCCTCTCCCTCTCCCTCTCCCTCTCCCTCTCCCTCTCCCTCTCCCTCTCCCTCTCCCTCTCCCTCTCCCTCTCCCTCTCCCTCTCCCTCTCCCTAGCTTCATAGCCGTCTCCTTCCTCCCTCCTCCCCTCCCCTGTCCCTATCCTTCTCCTTTTCCCTCTCTGTCCCTGTCCCTCTCCCTCTCTGTCCCTTGTTAGATGACCGTTAGTTGACCAATAAAACCCGTATTTGTCGTATGTACAAAACCTGTAAAACAAAATACTTTGTTGCATAATAGAATAACTTTACAACGAAATTAAACCAATTCCAAATAAATGCCTAATAACAAAACATTATAAATAATTACCCCTCTCCCTCTCCCTCTCCCTCTCCCTCTCCCTCTCCCTCTCCCTCTCCCTCTCCCTCTCCCTCTCCCTCTCCCTCTCCCTCTCCCTCTCCCTCTCCCTCTCCCTCTCCCTCTCCCTTTCCCTAGCTTCATAGCCCTCTTCTTCCTCCCTCCTCCCCCTCCCCCTGTTATGTCCCTCTCCCTATCTTTCTCCTTTTCCCTCTCTGTCCCTCTCCCTCTCCCTCTCCTTCAAAAACACGTTACAATTTTTCGTACTCCCGACGGCCGGCCCCTCTCCCTTTTCTTCATAAACATGTTCTAACAAATTAGAAATGATTAAAATCTGAAATTAAAATTTAAATATTTAAATTACTGCAGTCTGCAACGAGAAACTACGTGTTTTTAGTTATTATTATTATTATTTTATATATATGTATTGTCCATAACTAGGGTGGCCTGCTAACAGAACCATGATCTGCCTTGATTCATCCTTCAGCACAGAGAAAAGCTCCTTTTTATACATTATGATTACAGAGGATCTGATATTTAGATATATATTGCTGTGCTGTAAAAATTGACTTTATTTATTTATTTATTTATTTATTTTAGTCAATACTAAAGATTGTCATTTCAGAGTTCCTGGCACGAAAACCTGGGACAGTTCCTTTTGCCATTAACCCTCTTGGATTTGGTTGTCTCTACCGTTCATTCACACAACGAAACAGTCATGCTGATGGAGGAGGAGTAGAAATTAAAACTCTCCCGGCCAACGTTAATTTTTGCCACCCCTGGTTTTTAGAAAAGACAAGCAATTAAGATATCGGGATATTATGTGCAAGTTATTATTAACATTTATTTTGCAGTTGTTAATCATAATGCAACGTCCAAGCTATAAACATATTTGCAATTTCTTTCCGACATGAAAATCACGGCTAGTTTGGCGTCTGATAATGGATAGTGCTTTAATTTGAAAATAAAATCATTCTAGATATAAAATTTGCCGAGTCTAAATCCTATTTTTAATACGAAAAAAGTGTATCCGCATTACCTATCTTTGTTGATTACGAAAGTGATAATGTAAATATCAAACTTTAATTATTTTTATGAGAAGAAATGCTTGTATTATTTAGTTAGTCCCACAAAACAGTGCAGTCAAACCGCAGTTTACTGTTAATGTATGTTCCATAATTTTACGGCAATGCGAATATCATCTCTCTTTTGTTCATAACTCTTGGCTTCAGAGGTGTGAATTTTTATAGTTCCACAAAATTAAACGATATGAATTATAATGCATAACAATTAACATATAACAACATGATTTTTATCTGGTTGATGATATCATAAATCTGTTATGGGGGTTTCGGCTACAAAATATAGATCGTTTGAGATAGCAGCAATAAACTAAAACAGAATATTGACAGTTAAATCACCAATTTGATCTATGAAGTATCTGTTATAAAAATAGCTTATTATTTAATTGAAAATCACGCACAATTTACTAGAGTCATGTTAGCTTAGCACGCTGGATTATATTACGGACAGTAACACGCCAAGCTTATTTTGTAATAAAATTTCAATGCCAGCATTTACATTGCGCATAACGCGCGCAAATTATTCCTTGGCTGGTCTGAATCGACCAATCAGAACCGTTATTCCCATTATTCCCTCAGATTCCTCCAATCAGAGGCCTGAGTGCACGAAAAAGCAAATTTCAAAGGTATAATCAGCATTTCATTGGAATAACACGCGCATCATTTGGCGAGGTATAAAACTTCCGTTTACTGACTTACTATTTCATTATTAGGGGATGAATCTGCTTCTTTTCAACATGGAATTCCTGCCTGAAACCAGTAGGAATATTATTCCCATATTCCTTCAAATTTCGCACCGGGATGGTAGGAATAATGTCAGCAGTCTTCAAACCGTCGAATGTGCCCTTAGCTAGAGACTGGTTGACCAGTTTGCATAAGACAGGAATGAAACTTGTGATATTGTCTTTGAGGACAGTTGTTGGAAGAAAATCAGATGGTGCACACTTGATTCCACTTTCTTTGATTATTTCAGACAGCTCATCCTCTGTGCATGGTTCAAATTCATATAACCGACCTCCACAGTTGGAATTGTTCTGTTGATTCATAATGTGTTTATCAACATCAAAATCTTCTATGCTGGGGAAATCTTTCCTAATGTTCTTGATCTTTTCATTGAAATAGTGATTAAAATCACTGCAAAGTTTTGAAACATCTTCTGATTCTGGGAGAGGAGTATTCTGATGTCTGTCAAGCTCACGATTGACAATGCTATATATAGCTTTAACATCATGTTGATTTTTGTCAAGTAAACATTTATAATACTGTTGTTTTTTAAGATTAGCCATGTTCGTTGTTTCATCTCGGATCTCTTCAAAGAGTATCCTGTTCTCCTCACTTTTATGCTTAGTTCTCTCGGCTTTCCTTCTAAGTTTCCTTTGATCTTTGTACTCAGAATCAAACCAGGGAGCATTGGGAACAAAGCTTATAGTCTTTTGGACCAAAGGTGCATGTTCATCGAGGACACTACCAATACATTGGAAGAATTGTTCACAAGATTCAACAAAGCAGTCTGCCAATTCATAGTCAGAGGAACACATCAGTAAATCAATCGCCAACTGATCACAATCCACGGTTTTAAGCTGTCTAGTGTTGATTGTTTTAGGAGCTTTGAGGTTAGTTTGAAACTTCTTGGTGGCAAATATGATGGGGAAGTGATCACTCAGGGTACAGTTTTTCAGGATTTCAATTGTAGACGTTTCAATCAAGTTACTCTGGTCAAAGAGCAGGTCAATAGTTCCTCCACTCATGTGGGTCGGATTTTCAATAAGTTGCTTGAAACCATAAGATGAGGTGGTCTGCAGCAGTTCAGTTGAGTTTACAGTAATTGACTCTGTGTGAATATTGAAATCTCCTCCAATTATTATATAGTTACTTTTCAGACTTGCAGAACCCAATAAGTCATCAAGTTCCTCAAAGAACTTCTTTGAGACAGGGCCAGTTCGATAGATGCATAGGACAAGGATCTTCATGTCAGGAGTGCACTTTATAGATCCAGCGATGAATTCAAAGGTTGTCAGGTTCGGAACTTTCAAATTAACAACAGAGAAATGTAACGCCATGTTGTAAATCAGAGCAGTGCCACCACCTCTGTTGTTTGCTCTGAAATCATGAACAATACTGTAGCCATATGATTTAATAACTGCTGTTGTAGTATTGGCTTGGTCAGATAGCCATGTTTCAGTTACAATAGCAACGTCTACATCATGGTCTTGAAGTAAGCACATAATGTCGTCACACTTATTATTAAGACTTCTAGCATTCCAGATCATATATCGAAGTTGATGCAATTTCTTTGGTTTGGAGGAAACTAGTTTTTTGAATAATAAGCTAGGGAGGCTTTAAGTTTCTCTTGCTGAACCCGGTAAGAAGGACACTCAGTAGAAAATGCAGCATGTTTACATAAATCATCAGGTGAGCCAGACTTTTTGCAGTTGATACAACAGTATGTGGGCATTAGATCATTTTTCATCATTTCAACACTACTATATAACAAATAATTTGAGGTATGACCAAAGTAATACGAATGTAATACGAATGTAACGTTAATGGAATGGAACAAATCTCACATGTGAACTCTTCAATTTGCTTCAATTCAAATCAACAACTTAATTCAAATCATCAACTCAATATCATGGACGATTCAATGGAAAAATTTTTTGGAAAACTATTGTCGGAATGTGATCAAAAATGCAAAAACTGTACTGCACTCAAATCTCATGTCAAGTTTCTCGAGCGGAAAGTGATCATCCTAGAAGACATTGTTCAAACTTCTCAGACTATAGCAGAGATTAATGGTACGTTGTTACATCAAAGTACCAATCAGTCAATAGATTATCGGGCTGTCCTGGATAGGTGTTCAGATGTTGCAGTTCAGACAGAATTTGAAAACGATCAGATTGAATATGACAGTGAATGTGAGGTGCCTGAATCCTTCATGCTAATCAATAGTGATGGCATCATTGAAGCACCAGATTCTATCATTTCCAACAACACAGAAAATCAAATCAGTGAGAGTACAGGATCTGTCAATCCATGGAGTGGCAAGTATTATGCTGAAATAGATGTAACACCCATATCTAGTGTGGCCTTAAGTGTAAATGACGAAAGCCCTGACATTATCATACCACCTGTTGAACTCATTGATCAGGCACCGTTTCAAAAATTCTCCTTAGACATCTTCCTGAGAGAATTGGATTTTAGCCACCAGTTTCAAAATAGGAAAACAGCTTACTTTGGGGACTTCCCATATGTGTATAATGGGGGAAGTCACGAGGCGAAGGAGATACCACATCAGTCCTATCTGGCTGCTATCTGTTCATATCTTGATGTGTTACTCCCGGATTATGTTTACAACAGTGCTCTCGTTAACTACTACAGTACTGGGACAGAATGCATGCCTATCCATAGTGATAATGAAGAATGCATCGATGAAAACTCTTACATTGTTACAGTTTCTCTGGGTGCCTCTAGGACGATGCAGTTCACAGAAATTCAAACAGGAAAAGTGGTGTCTGCCCTAGATCTAAAGCATGGGGATGTTTGTATCATGTCTAAAAAATCCCAGCTTCATTACAGACATGAAATCTGTACTCAACCATCTTGTACAAACAAAAGGATCAGTATCACATTCAGACTGATCAAACCTGTAGCTGTTGTCCAAAGATTAACAAGTACACCAACCAACATGTGCAATGACAATTACCATGACCCATATGAAAACATCTCCAACTCCAGCGGCTATGTACCTTATCAAGAAGACGAGTTTATAGTTCATCCATCAAGGAAAACGAATGGTGCTTATCAGCACCGACCTCTAACCCCACCCTATACATCTCCACCACCCCATCAATCAGGGCGGCATGTTAACAGACAACAATTGTTCGAAAAGGAGACACCCAACGATGTGAGCACAGTTTATATCAGCAGCAGCATCTTCAGGCATCTGAATGAAAAACTGTTGAGCTCTTCATCTCAGAAGGCCAAAGTATTTTTCTACCCAGGGGCCAACTCAATCCAAATGTCCCAAAGACTCTTTAGTGACAGTCAGTTCAAAGTTCTCAACAAAGAAAAGGTTAAAAAGGTTGTTTTACTAACTGGTACTAACTGTGTTGATCCAATTGACCTCAACACAATGAACTTCAACAGTGCCACCAATGACATGGAAGAATTTGTTCAAAAATTGTGGGCAGAATTTAATAGTGCAAAAATATATATCTTAAATATTCTGCCTAGAGCTGTCACTAGTAAGAACATTATAGTGCAGGGACTTAATCGATACTTAGAGAATATGTGTTATAAGCATGGGCTAATATACATTAACACAGAACATGAAAATAATCTCTTTACTTTAAATTATAATAGAAAGGACAAGTATTTTGGCAGGGGCCATGACAATGTGCACCTCAATAAGTTAGGAATTGCCAGGCTTGGTAAGCATCTCAAATATGTAACTCACTTGTGTTAAACTTCATTAAAATTCTATAATCCAAGGGTATCAACATGAATAATAACAGGATTACTGTTTTATCTGGTTTAAAATGTTAGATCAGCACAAATTTCTAATAACTTAATGTTTTTATATCTCTCAAGCTATATTTATCACAAACAGAAGTGAGTTACTATTTTATGCTGTTAAATTTTATGATTTAAACTGCAGTATGATTGCTGATCCGAAATCCAATTTAAATCATATGTATGACATGATTTGAAACTTAGTCTACTTGGGGAGACTGCATGTGGATTTGTTCCCCATTAGCTTTGGTTTAACCTTATTCGTACCTCAATAAACGATAATCTCTCTCTTGGTCTATGTAATATACAGGGTGGCCTGACTAATCTGGCAAAAACTCTCGAACTACAGGAGCTAATATTTCGCGAAAAGCTTGACATAATTGGAATTAATGAGACAAACCTTAAATCTGATATAAATAAATAAATAAATAAATAAAGTCAATTTTTACAGCACAGCAATATATATCTAAATATCAGATCCTCTGTAATCATAATGTATAAAAAAAGGAGCTTTTCTCTGTGCTGAAGGATGAATCAAGGCAGATCATGGTTCTGTTAGCAGGCCACCCTAGTTATGGACAATACATATATATAAAATAATTAAATTATAATTTTAAAATTGTGTCAAGATTGAACTAAAACATAACTCAGGGTAAAATAGACGTATTCCCTTCGTCAAATTAACTATTTACAATACTAAACTTAAACGAACTCCGAGTAAAATAAACGTAATCCCTTTGTCAAACTTGCTATTTACAATAAGTTAATAAATTAATACGGTTGAAAATTATTTCATATTCAATAACAATGTAGCATCAATATAATTGATACAAATGAGGAGCATACAGCGAGAATTGCACATAACAGGAGGACTGGAGGTATGGAGCAATAATGATTGACAGTGCACCTTTCCACTGATGTTCCTAATTTCCTGTAATAGCTTAATAGGCATGGAAATACTTTGATTGCAGGGGATAGATTGGATTCACTTATGTACTGAGATAACTTAACCGAAATAACATAACTGCCTAGATACATTGGCTAGTGTTGGGTGGGATCATGAATTTATCGTAAGAGTTATCCCCTTGGTAATTCTCATCAGTTAGCAACATATTCATAAGAGTTTCTTTGTATAACTTAGAAAATTTCTTAACGTCGTCACACTCTCTAAGGGACTTTGGTAATATGTTCCAGGCCTTAGTTCCTAGATAGTTAAACTCCTTGTGAGATCTTGATTTAGGAGTATAAAGATTGCAGTTTTCTGCCTCACGTGATCCACCAGAAATATACGAGAATTTCCCGATAAAATGCTTTGGACATGTTTCATTGATTATACGGTACATATATGAGCTAAGATGAACCTGTCGTCTCAAATGGAGAGGAAGCCATCCCATATTTTTGTATACATTAACCGACCTCTCTCTGATGTTTACATCTAGGGCTATTTTAGCAACCTTTTTGTACATGATATCTAACTCTCCTAGTCGTTTTTTATATGTTCTTGACCAGATGGTGTCTAAGTAGTCAAAATGTGGCAACATAAGTGCATTAGCAAACATCTTCCTGAACTTGAGAGGGAGAAGTTTTTTTGATCTATACATAGCACCAATTCTTTTGGATATCTTTTTCTTAATGTTATCAATATGTTCATTAAATGTCAATCTGCTGTCAACTATAAGTCCAAGGTACTTATGGGATTCAGTTTCACAGATTACCAAAGTAAGGTCATCACAAATTTCAACAAGGATGGCATCAAGGTTAGGCTTAGAGTCAAGGATCATTAGTTTTGTTTTTTCATTATTCAGGGATAGTTTATTAGCCTGAAGCCATCTGATAACTAATTTCAACTCTTGTTTGATGTTACCATAGTTTCCTCTAGATATATTGTCAAAATATAATGCACCGTCATCAGCAAATAGATAAGGTTTAGAAAATAGGCATGCATTAGGCAGGTCATTGATAAAAATGCTGAATAGAATTGGTCCTAATATACTTCCTTGAGGCACTCCAGAGTTCAATGAATGTAAACTGCTTATCCTACTCCCAACTCTAGTTTGCTGTAATCTATCTGTGAGGAAGCTCCTAAACCAGCTCAATGCAGTATTTTTTATTCCATAATGCTTCAGCTTTTGAATGAGAATATCATGGTTAACAGTATCAAATGCCTTTCTGATGTCCAGGAAGATAATTGCAGGATGCTTGGCACTGTTCTTAGCAGTAAATATACGATCAAACAGATCTAACATGAGATAAGTTGTAGAGTGATCTTTACGGAAACCATATTGATGCTCTGAAAGTATTCCCTTTTCATCAAGATATTGAGTCAGTTGGGAGTTCACACAAAATTCGATGCACTTTCCAAGAATCGGTAAAATTGAGATTGGTCGATAATTACTAGGATTCTCAGTATCACCATCCTTATGGATTGGGGTGACTTTTGCAACCTTGCAGCTATTTGGCATGATGCCACTGGATAAACTCAAATTTACAAGATGTGTTAATGGAGCAATAAATGCAGGTAAAATTTGTCTAAACACTCTCAATGGTA